CGCATGCCCGGATGCCCGTCCTTTTTTTGCAGGAGATCACACGCGAGCAAAATGTACCAGTGGCTGCTGAGGCAGGTTCAAGCGACATTCCAAGTGTAACGGGAATGAAACTTCCTTTTGGCACAGTCTGTGAAGTTTCACTCGGTGAGTTTTGGGAAGTTCTCTTGCCAGTCGGTTTCTCATGTTTATGGTAGTTGTGTTTTGGGGGGCAGGTCTTCGCGCAATCCATTGCCCAAATGAAGAACTTGGTTAAGCGCAAGAACGGTCAATTCATTGGCCTACTTGTCCGGCGAACCTACGCGGAGAGGTTCCTTAATGGAAAATCACTGGAAATCAGAACGCGACCACTGAAGTTTCTCGGTGTCGGTGAGCGCATCATTCTTGTCAGTTGTGGCCAGAAGGAGGGCGGAAGGAGGGCTCTCGCAACCTTGCAGTTCACTGGCTGCTTCCAGATTTCTTTGGCTTCGTTTTCCACCTTTCAGGCTACGCACAAACTGGATGATGACGAGATGGAAGCCATGAGTTCACAGACAAGAAAAAAGGACAAGGATCATCTTTGGGGCTGGCAACTCACTATGGTGCATCAATTCTCAGAGCCTGTTCCTGTACCGACCACCACTGCAGAAGTCTGGATGCACTTCACTGTGGATCAGCTTCAGGCAATGGGGGTGTTTACTAATCCGGTGTCGCCATTATAATCCCATCCACCTATAAAGAATCACGAGGCCCCCCCTAATAAGCAACTCCTGGTGCGTTTTTGTTAATAGGGGGTCCCCAAAATAGGGGGCCCTCCTATGTTTGTAGTTCAATAGTAGGTCAAGAAGGTGGTGTACATTTAGAAACACAAATAAACCGTATTTATGGGTCTCCGATATGCTTTCTCTTTTTGGAAGTGTTTGTTTTGGTTACCCACTGTGGGTGTGTGTGTGTCATAGTTTCGTAGTTGCAGGCAATGACGCAAACCGATCCTGAGCCTGCAAATCTCAATTCTACTGGCAGTAGCGGTCCCACCGATGGGTTTGAACATTCCTCCACGGCGGGCAGTTTGATGAAGTCTTCTTCTACTTCTGGACCATGCCTGCCTCGTCCGCAGAGTTGTTGCCCACAGAACAGGAGTCTGAGAGTCTAATGAAAGAATGGCAGCACGAGCAAATGGGGATTGTTTTGACCCAGCTGGAATGGGCAGCTCTCTCCGCTGGCCAAGCACATTGCTTTTTGCGGCCCTCACGGGCTTCCATGAGAACATTCTTGGTGATCCTGCGGCAAACGGCTGGCCTAGAAGCGGTGGGGTTTGCTCGTGTGGGAGAAATCACGAAGCCGGGCCGAACTCGGAATGAAATGCGTGATCTGTCAGAGGATCCTGGCCTCTTAGCCATGTACACGGCCAAGGAGCTAAAAGGCCCCAAGAGCAAGTGGCTTGTGTGGTGGCTGGAAGATATAGCGGCTTTTGCTTCCCCTTCTCCGGTCACCATACCTGTCAAGAAGGCACTCAACAACCGTCCCTTCTACTTGAGCCGGAGCCACCTAGTTGAGCCCCCAGAGTTGAAGGGTGACTTGCATTGCACTGCCCAGTTCTTTATTGACTCCCTGCCAGATGGCATGAAAAAGAATGTCATGAAGCTGGGACAAGCTTTACGAGGAAAGAGCGTGCGGGTGGGGACTACTTGTTCAGGCAGTGATGTGTGCCTGCCCTGTTTGCAGAGCGTCTTTGACATCATCTCTGGAGAGGCTAGGGCGGTTGAAATCACATAGAATGCCGCCTTATGTTCCATATTGTGTCCCTGATAGGTTGGAAGCATCCGCCTAGTGCACGTCTTCTCTGTAGAGAAAGACCCGCAGAAGCGCGAGCTCATCCTGATGCAATCTGAGAACGTTCATCACGTATTCTCAGATGTATCCGTCATGGGGGAAGAGAAGGGCTTTTGCTTCAAGTGCACCCTGTTCGCGGTGTTGTTTGTTTTGCTGAAAAAATACTATCACTTGGAATGTGCACTTGTAGTCATACATATTTAGTAGAAAACATGGCATGAAGTTGGGTAGGGATGCTTATTGCTTTGTCTAGACAGATTGACAGATCAAGACATACCTGTGTCCTTTGCAACTGGAATGAGGCGATCACAAGCATCCCATCAACAAGAGCAACTGTTCCGTGGATGTCTTTCTCTGCGGCCCTGCGTGCGTGGATCTGTGCATGCTGAACTCCAAGCGGAGTGAATTTGCCGGGTGCTACGAAGACTGCAGTGACGGAGATGACTTCCAAGAGGAGGGCACGTCAGGGATGACATACAAGAATGGGTTCAAGAAGGCAGGACCCTGCTCACCTTCTCCCTTTCCATCCCGGCTCTCTTGCCTTCCTGTAATTTGTTGAATTACACCACGGACAGTCCTTAAATCTTGACCTTTGGATTTTCTCAACAACATCGGCAAATTTGCGCAGGTCTATGAGCTGCTGACACCGCGCTTTGCCTTTTACGAGAATGTAAAATCAGCAGCGCACCGTAGCACGCTGTTCAATGGGAAAGTCAAGCAGCCAGCCGTGAAGGTGCGTATGAAAACGGAAAAAGATTTGTTTCATACGGCTGAATCATGCGGTTTTAGTCCTTTTCTCTGGAGGTGGTTGAACAACACCTCCATGCAGCCGGCTACACTTACAAAAACAGTTACATATGTCTGGCGACTAGTCTGTATGCACACTTGTAAGAGGCATTCTAAGTGAACATGTATCTGAGTCTGCGTGTGGTAAGGCATACGCTATCTTGGACACAGACCAGTACTTACTACCACAACGAAGGAACCGCGTCTGGGGAATGGCTTCTTTGCTGGGTTGCAAAAGGCAGGAGGAGATTCAAGAAGCCTTTTCCGCTTCGCTTGCTGAGATGGCAACTTCAGCGAAGTTGCCAGACCAGCGAAGTTGCCAGACCAAGAGGTATTTGTCCAGGCTCCGCCACAAGACATCAAAGAAGGTCGTCACAGGGAGCTTTTGGATAAAGGGATGGAAGCGTTTGGGCCACATGTCTTCATTGACGCGTCTTCTAGCCTTGCCCGCAAAGTGGCGCATAGCGGTGGCATACCTTGTGTTACGCCGACGCGTCCAGTGTACTCGGCGAAACACCAGCGCTATTTGGGTCCGCAGGACTTCTTGCAAGCCCAAGGCATCTTTCCAGGATCCTACAAACCAGAGGTGTACACACGCATGTGCACAGAGCCTGGACTAGGCCAAAGTCTAGCTGGCAACTCATTCTCTGCGACAGTCTGCCAAACTGTTGTTTTGGCCTCTACGGTGTCTTGTCCAGACTTGTGGGCTGAAATTGATAGTCCGGAGAAGGTCTCGCTGAGCCACATCTCCAAGCAGGCCTCCACCCCCTCAGAGCAGCAGCCTGCGCAGGGTACAATCTTGAGACGGTTGCCGGGAAAAAGAAAGGCACCTGAATATGATTTTGCTTTGCGAGGAGCAAGCGGGAAGCCACTGCCAGCCCAGAGAGCAGGGACAAAGCGTAGGCGCTACATACGCAAAAAACTTGGCGTGGATGGTAGAAAGCTGGCCAAGGGCAAGAAACCGATGGTGTCCATTTGGGCCAAGATGGAGATGCTCCTCGGTGCAATTTAGCCTTCTGGTTTGTCTGGTTGTCTAATTTCCCCCATACACTTGGAATGCATCTCCTATAGACTTTTCTAGCCATTCCCAAACGCGGTTCCTTCGTTGTTGTATAAATATATATATATAGCAAGTAGTGGTCTGTGTCCAGGATAGCGTATGCCTCACCCCACACGCAGACTCAGATACATGTTCACTTAGAAAACCTCTTACCAGTCATACAGGCTAGTGACCAAATCATTTTATTGTTTTTGTCACAGGATTGATGATATTGACCCTGTCTGCTGCAGGCTAAAGGCTTATGATGAAGCCAAAGCAGCTGGGAAGGCTTCTCCGGCCAAGGAGGTTGAGAAGCTAGGCTATCGTGGCTTTTACCGTTGCTGTGTCTACAAATGGGCTAAATGCCGGCAAGTTCAGCACTGGGACCTTTTGGTCACAACAGCTCCCCAGTTGGCCAAGAGAATGAAGGAACTTCCCAACAAAGTGAGGAAAATGATTGGACAACCTCTCAAGTTTGTGTCAAGGATCTCAGGTATGAACCTTGAGGAGAAAGGCACCACCATACTACCACCGGAGCTAGCGGAGATGGTTGCGGAAGCTGTGGCTACTTGCCGATAAAAAAACCTTATATGCTCTCTCTCTCTCCCGCTCTCCCTCCCTCGTCGGTATGTGTTCAACAAAAATTGGTGATATTTTTACACGCATATATAGTATAATATAGGTAAACAACAGCAGGGTGGGAAATTGGTCAAATCAGGTTGAACGCATCGCCTTGGGGGAAGAATGCGATTTTTACTTTGTGGCAGACGTGCTCAAATTGGCAATCCAGCAATGGAATGAATCAGTTGACCTCAAGAAGCAGAAATTGTCCAGCGCGGGTGGTCTACTGCAGACATTGGAGGCAGTAACCGCAGGAGAAGAGGGTTTCCAGGAGAATGAAGCAGTTGCTCGAGTTGAAAACAGTGTTGCCGAGCAAATGGGTAGGCTTCAGAAGATCACGCTGAAGCCAACAGAGAACAACTTTTTGATACTTGGTTGGGTTTGGTTGGTGTTCCTGTGTTCATTTCTCTGGCTGGTCTTGGGTGCTTCACATATGCATGTGTTATCTGTATACTTATATATATATATATGTTTGTTGTTTCTTTCCACCAGTGACATTCTAAGTGATTGTTTGCCTTGCGCGTTCACTAGGAAATCAGCACAGAGACTATGCCAAAAGTGTGGAATTGGCGTCTGTGGCAACACGAAGCCGGGCAAGCACCTGCCCTCATCCCACCCAGCTCTACAGAAGCTTAGAGAGTTCATCCAGCTGTTTGGAGCTTGCAGTACCAACCGTCACGGAGGACCCTCCAGCCTCGAACCCATTGCGACGACCTAGCCCGCTCCCTTCCTCTCCGGAAGCTGCGCCACCGGATTCAGAACGCACTGGATCTGGAGGTGACAGAGGACCCATCTCAAGACAGGTATCGCAGCAAGGCTGCTTTTGACCATGATGGTGTGACAGGGGGTGCAGTGGCATGCGCTCCTGTTGAGCAATGGCGAGTACCACGGACTCTCACGACGTTGTCCTGGCTGGATGGGGGGGGTGGGCCGAGGGTTTGTGACTCTACGGGCGGATGCCATAAGCGAGTCGGATCTCCAAGTGGCAAACCAGGACTCAAGCTGAGCTGTGGTTTGAGAAGTTGGTATGATCTGCCATTTATGGCTGTGCATCTTTGTGCAGGCATTCCAAGTGTAAAGGCCAACATGTTACATACATGTACTGTCAACCTATGATATATCAGCTGAGCAAATCCTAACACAAAATTATATGTTCACCTTAAAAATATAAAGCAAAATGTTTCTACCACTGGACCTAGATACAGATACCCCCAATCTGCCATTTAAAAGTTGTCTTGAAAACGCATCCTCTAGATTCAACTCTTATATTCTGTACGTGTAGACGAGAGAGAGAGAGAGAAAAAAAAACAACAAGAGAGGGAGAGAGAGAGAGAGAGAGAAGGGGGGTGCATGTGTTGGCTTCTCCTGCAGTTGATCAGCTTGAGTGGCAGGAGCTATCAGAATGGCTGGAGGTCGCCCCACCTCAATCCAGAACTCACATCTGGGGTGGCGACACCATGATGACATACCTGGCCTTTTTAGGAGGCGAGATCCGCGCTAAGCGCCGCAGCTTGGGCCTCACGATTGCAGACAGATGCATGGTGATATGTGACTGCGCCACGCAGCACACCAGCAAGACGTACGAGCAGCTGCGTTCTGCGTGGTGCCAGCAACATAATGTGGCCTTTTGGCAAAAATAACAACGATAGATATAGATCTCGATCAAGACGGTGTTTTTTCCTCACCCTAGGACTGTAGGATTGTTAAACTTTGGACATATATATATATATATATAGACCTCAGATGACCTCAGCCACATCGTCCACT